GCTTCTAGCCCGCCTGCAGGGCCCCCAGCACCAGATGCTGTCCCAGGGACCGGCCGGGCCACCACGGGCACGCCACCCTTGCAGTGTGGGCTGTGGGCAGCACCCGGCTCCTCCGCCCATCGCTTCTGCAGGGGCAGCGCCTGTGCTCGCTCCCTTTTCTGACTGCAGCGCCGGGCAGTCCGGTGTGGGACAGGCTTCAGGGACTTGTGCAGCCATTGCACGGTGCAGTGGGCTTCGTAGCCCCTGTGCTGACGAAGGGCTGTTAAAGCATTCATGATGTACCCGTCTCTAAAGCAGGGCTGCCCACCTCCCTGCCATTCTGAGGCCAGCTCTGTGGCGCCAAGCACTTGCACACTCTCACTGCACTGTCTGTTGTCTGTCAAGACTCTAACACGTGAGGCTGCGGCAGATGTCCTTGCGGCCCAAGCCCAGCCCTTGCGGGTGCTCAGCTGGCAGCCATGGTCTTGGCATCGAGCGCCAGCTCCACTGTCTTCTAACTTTTTTTTAAAAAAAATAATTAATTAATTAACTAATTTGGTACAGGGTCTCACTCCACAGCTCGGACTTGTAGTGAGCCTCCTGTCTCAGTCTCCACACCCGGTTTTGGTGCCAGACCCCTGAGCTATCTCCCCACCCTTGTTTTTTAACATTGGAGTTGGATTTTCAAGGCCTGCACCTTTGTACCTAGATTTGTAAATAATCACAAGAAACGTGGGAAGAGAGAGGCAGGAACGGGAGGTTAGAGCAGTGGGGCCGGGGCCCGGTTCCCTGGCTGCGTGCTCCGGGATAGCAACAGACTCTGCCTCCTGACAGCCCTGGGTTGTCCCTCTGCCTCGGTTTGTCCCTGAGCTTGGTCCTGGGCCACTGCTGTGCGCTGCCCTCCGGCTCAGGCACGTCTCTGGGTCAGGGCTGGCTGTTTTCTTTGATGTCATTCACATCTAAGTTTCCACGTGTGACCTGTGCCGGTGTGTGCTCCCGCGTGCTCCCAGATGGTTCAGGGTGAGCGCAGCAGTGTGGGAAACGGCAGCTGGGGATCTGCACTTGCTACAGGGGGGGCAGTCATAGGGGCAGCCAGGCTGAGGGTGCAGGTGCTGCTGGGCTCCCATAACCTGTGGCCGCGAGGTCACCCAGAAGGAGGTGTGGGTCGAATTTGGATGGCAGGTGCAGGTCTCCTCTGTGGCTGGTGTAGAGGCCTGACCCGTGCTGTTCTGGGGTGTCTCTGAGCTGCTGCCTGGGTCTCCGTGACTGTGGGGGCCCTTCTGGCTCCCCGGGACCGGCTCACACCAGCCCTCTCACCGTGGCAGGTGATGCCCTCCGGAAGCCACGCCTTCAGAAGACCTGCACGTGGCACTTGGACGACGTCTTCTTCACCTTGTACCCCTCCCTGGAGAAGTTCGAGGCGGAGCTTCTGGAACTCCTCGCTGAGGACCACTCCCAGGAGGTGTGTGCCCGCGTGGGACTTCTCCTTGCAGGGAGGGTGCCCGCGGGTGGGGCGGGTGGCTTGCCCCTGTCTCTCCCTGTTCCTTCTGCTTTCTCTGTCCCTGACGCGGGCAGGACGTAGGTCTCAGACAGACCCTTCCCTCCAGGGGCCGCGCCTCCTGCCAACCCGCAGCTTTTGGTCACTGTAAACAGCAGTGAAGGTGACCTTAGCCTGGGCTGTGCATTTTTGGGTTATTTATTTATTTATTTATTTTTGACATCAGTTATTTTTATTTTAAAGAAAAAAAAATAAAAACAGTGGTACAAAATCTCAAAACAAGATTTTAGGAGAGTAACAATGGTTAGTACATTGTGTATTGTTACTGCCAAAGTAGTTTCTCATATTATA